GCATCTACAAACAGAATCACTAGACTAGTGCATCAGCAGAATGATCTTCACTTCTGCTTAATGTATGAACTGATTCAGCGGTACACAGCTGGTTTCTGTGCCAAGTAGAGTCCTTGTCTGCTGACAGCACGTTATCCTACATGTGACTGAGCCAAATCACATTGCAAACTCAGCAGAAACAAATCCTAGAATCAACCAAGGTTAAGTTGCAGGATTGTGTTAAAAAGGCAAGAATTAAAGGCACTCTATCTGAAAACATGCAGCATTCACAAACAGTGCGTGAATTGATGGCCCAAACCAAAAGTAAATAGGATTTAATTACCATTACTGAGGTGTAGCTTTTTTTTAAAAATTCACTTGTGGGACATGGGTGTTTATTGCCTGTGCCTACCTGTCCTTGAACTGATTGGCTTAGTAAGCCATTTCAGGGGGCAGGTAAGAGTTAACCACATTGCTGTAAGCTGGAGTCACGTGTAGGCCAGAACAGGATGGTATATTTCCCAGAGGACATTGGTGAACCAGATGTATTTATCCAACAATCGGCAATGGTTTCATAGTCATCAGTAGACTCTTAATTCCGTTTTAAAAAATTGAATTCAGATTCCACCATCTACTGTGAGGATCTCCCCAGAAGATTAGCTGAGTTTCTGGATTAATAATCTAGCAATAATACTACTAGGCATCTCCTCTCCTGAGGGAGCTACTGAGTGACCAAGACTAGGGTTGGATATGAAAGGATATTTGACATTTATAAAGGCCAGGCAAGAAAGACAAGACAATGAGTTGAGAGCAATGCATTCATGAGGGAGGATCATCAATTGGAAGAATAGGAAGTTGAAACTGTTTGGGAAGTCTAAGAAATAGCATGGAGCAACAATTATTGGTAGACAATCAAATGGAGTGATATAGTGGGCCATGCTATGAAATCAGGTATTTAGAAGTATTAAGGTAGATGGGTGATTTTGATACACTTAAAGACTGGGTAAATCAAGTGAGCCCCAGTGCTGTGGAAAAAGAATTCCTGGAATGTGTTCAAGATGGTTTTCTGGAGGACCATGATGAGGAACATCGATCCTACAGCATAGGATATTTAATGTCTGGTATAATGCAAAGAGAAAGGGCTAATTAATAATCTTCATGCTAAAGAAACTTTACAGATAAATGACAATTACATGACAATTTTTCATCAAGTTTGAAAAAGATGTAGTTCAATCTGAAATTAGCATCTTAAATCCAAACAAGAACAACTTTGAAGTCGATGGAGGACATTATCAGAGGTGGATTGGAAAAATAAAAAGTTTTGATTCATAGGTACTGGTTAGCCTTTAGATAATTAATTATGGATTTTAAAAAAAACATACATTCTTCAAAGACAAAACACCAAACAGGAAAAGTAAGACTCTTATGGCTTATTGTAGTTAAAAATATTATTAGATCATTGAAAGAGGCTTACAAAAGCCTGAGGATTCTGTGAATTTCAATATTTGGCTAAAGGAGGACAATGAAATTTATAAAGAAAGACAGAATTGAACATGAATTTAAAATGGAGATTCTAAAAGGCATATAGTGCTCTCTTGCAAATGGAGGAGAAGGACTCGGAGGGAGGGAGTGTCCATGGGTGTAAGTCAAAGGTTTGCAGCATTTCGGAAGGAATGTGTGTCTTGATTTTGAAAGGACTAAGGGTCAACGCTAGTTACCAGCTGACATTGGCTCTAGTGCTTGTGTGTTCTAAGTGTGTATCTCTGAGGTCAGCTCAAATTAACATAGTGTCCTTCATAATCCTTACTTTCTTACCTACCTGTGAAACCTCTGAAGCTCCAAGCATCAGCCTCTAGGGTACACTGATAATCTCCGAAGAGGCCCCATTCTGGGCAGCACCTGTCCCCCTCAGTAGGTATGTGTGACCTGGCTGTAAGGAATCTGCACACTGGTAGCTGGCTCTCCAATACTGGGCTAGTGCAGGCCTCTGGAGGCAGCTCAAAGCTAATGAGGATGCTCTGGAGTTGACCATCAGGCATCAGATGCTACTGTACAGCATTAAGTCTGAGGAGATAGTTGCAGAGCTACCAGAGGGATTGCAAGCACTGGCATGAACAGGAGAGGACTCCACCAAGACAAAGAGCATTGTGAAGAGATCACCTGCTTTTCAGAACACAATTCTTCCTCCATTGAGAGGCTGCCATGGGTGGTTAAACTTAGCATTTTTCAGTTTGTTAAACCTTCTGTGGTTTGCTTACGGAGGACACACAGGTTCTTCTGAATACCAAGAATTTCCAGCCTTTCACTATTTTACGAAAACTCTTTTTATTTTTCCTACTGAAGTGGTTGGTATCCATCCATTTGACTGTACCATCTTCAAATTATATCTGGTCACTGAACAGTTCTTGGCAAGGCTACTAGGAAGTTCTGTACTTCGTAGTTCAGGTGATTTCTGTGAGTGCAAGCTTTCCTGATCCGTTGGCAGAGAAATGTGGAGACTTATCAGGAACAAAAGGCGCTAACACTGTATCAGAGAGACTGAGTTCCTGCGATCAGTGAATTTGGATTGTTACTATGTCTCTGTGGGAGAATCCTCATCACATCCAGTTGACATTTAAGATTAAAATCCAAACAAATCTATGAAAATACAAAGCCAGCAATCATAGGTCAGTCAGCTTAACTTTAGTGATGGGGAAGCTTCTAGAGACAATTATTCATGATAGAATTAGTAGTTACTTGGAAAATGGTGAATTGATTAGCAAGAGTTGGGATGAATTTCTAAAGGGGAAATCATGTTTAAGTATCTTGCTGGAGGTTTTAAAGAGGTAACAAAGAAATGATTAGGGTAATGCTGTTGATATAGTGTACATGGACTTTTAGTAGGCTGTTGAAACAGTGCCAAACAACAAACTTGTGAGGAAAGTTATAGCTGATGGAATAAAAGGGTCAGTAACAACATGAATACAAAATTGGCTGAGTATTAGGAAACACAGAGGAATGGATATTTTTTGAGCTGGGGGAAGGTTTGCAGTGGAGTATTGAGACCCTTACTTTTCCTCACACATATGTTAATGATCTGGATCTCAGTGTGCAAGGAACAATTTCAAAGTTTGCAGATGACACAAAACTTAGAAGAATTGTAAACAGAGGAGGAGGGTAGTGTAGAAATCCAAAAGGACATTGACAAGTTGATGGAATGGGTGGATAGGTGGCAAATGAGTTTCAATGCAGAGAAGTATGAGGAAGAATGGTGAAAGACAATAGAAGATAAGGGCTACAATTCTAAGGGGAAACAGAAGCTGAGGAACCAAGATGAATATGGACACAGATCACTAAAAATAGGAGGACAGGTTGAGAGAGCAGTAAGTAAAGCATACAGTATGTTCGGTTTTATTAACAACGGCAGAGAATATGAGAGCAAGCAAGTGATGCTGATCTTATATAAAACACTTATTAAATTTCACCTAGAGTACGTGTACAGTTGTGGGAACCACATTATAGGAAAGACATGAATGCAGAACTCATTCCAGGAATGAGGAACTTCAGTTGTGAGGATAGATTGAAGAGGTTGGGGCTGTTTTTCTTCCATTTTGATAAGCCATTGGCATTCGATGCTGAGTGTCTTAAACTCCCACATACATTTATAACTGTATGCAATGAGGAATTACACAGGCAATCTGAGCTGTGTTATAGCTATTAGTTGAAACACAGATAAAGTGAGTATAGCGTCTTGTGGCTGCAAAGGGGACTTTATTTATATGGACAGTGTATGCAAAAACATAATCTTTGGAATTGGAAAAATGAGGTCATCACAGATATTGCCTTACATACTGAGGAGAGAAGAGGGTTAATATTAATTTCAATTTTGATGAAGGGCCATTGACCTGAAACATCGACTTTGTTCTTCTCTCTCTCTACAGAGCTGCTGAAGGGTTACAACAGTAGTTTCTGTTTTTAGATTACCACCATCCACAGAAAACACGTTTTTAAAGGAACACACGAGACTGTTTGAGATTGATCCATTTACATCTCTTTAAAAAAAGGAATATTGCTTCATTAAAAATGCATCATATAAAACAGTGTTGTCATGTTACTGATGATCGTTATTTCTGCTTTGATTTTGAAAGTGTATTTAAAGTAATCAGGGTACCACCTGACCTGGTCCAAGTTACTGACCATCACCTGATTTCGAGAAAAAGAGTCTCAAGTTTGAACTCGGGCAATTCCTGACATTTGAGTTAACGTCTCTCCACAATATGCAGCATCAAATATGTAATAAAAATGAGAAACGACAACTCACATTTTTATAGCACCTTTAACATAGTAAAATGTCTCAAAGCACTTCACTGCAGTTTTTTTTAAAATCAAATTTGACACCAAGTCATGTAAGGAGATGTTAGGGCAGATGACCCAGAGCTTTGTCAAAGAGGTCAAGTAGGGTGGAACGGTGGCTCAGTGGTTAGTACTGTTGCCTCACAACATTTGGGACCTGGATTTGATTCTGGCCTCAGGCGACTGTCTGTGTGGAGTTTGCACATTCTCCCCATGTCCGAGCGGGTTTCCTCCCACAGTCCAAAGATGTGCAGTTTAGGTGGACTGGCTGTAAAAAATGCCCCTTGTGTTCAGGGATGTGCAGGCTGGGTGGATTATCCATGGGATACTCTTCGGAGGGTCGGTGTGGACTCGATTGACTGAATGGCCTGCTTCCACACTGTAAGGAGTTTACAATTCTGGATATGTTTTAAGAAGTATCTTAAAAAGGAGGGAAGTGAGGTTTGTGCAAACGATCCCAGAGCTGAAATCATGGCCTCCAATGTGGAACAATTCAAATTAAAGTTCTCAAGAAGCTAGAATTGGAAGAGATCTGCACTTTTCAAGTGGGACCAGTTCAGGGACCTCGAAGGAACAACCAGGCCCCATCTTGGAAGAAAGAGAGGAACAAATGAACCAAAAGAATGAATGCAAAAAAAATGAACAAAAAAGAAAATGAGGAGAAAGAAAGTACAGTAATGTGAGAATAGTAAGGTAACCTGTTGTTCTGATGTGGATTGAGGGATGTAATATTGGTCAGGACATCCAGGATAACTCCTTTGCAAGACATGGATTAAAGGAGTGCCAGAAATGATCCCATAAATCATGATGTGGTTCTAGGTAGGTGGAGATTGGAATTAAAAATGCAGGGATAGCAGGAGAAAAGAAAAATGAGGGATGTGAGGAGTTCTGTGGTCTTAAAAAAATGCTGGAAATCAATGGGTTTGAAGGGAAGACTGTGCGAAACATCTCAATAATCAACCAATTGTGGAGGAGGATCAGGCAGAGATTTTCACTTTCAGCAGACCATCTGCTGGTTGACCACAGATCAATATTGATTGGGCATTCTCCCATTCTTTAACAGCAGGGAACCTTCAAAGTGATTAAGAAGAATGGTTAGCAGCAGAAGTCATGGTATGATTCTGGGTACTTTGAGAAAACCAGTTACAGCCCCTGATAGACCGGGGAGTTTGATGCAAAGAAACCATTTGCTTTCCCATTACCTTCAGAGAGGGCACAAAGCTCATCATTACTGTCGTGACTATTTTCAGTCATCACCTTTTCACGTTCTTGTAGGTTATCGTGGTAATAGAGCGAAGCTGCCACAGGATTGTCATACTCATTTTCGGCTGTAGTAGAAGTCGTTGGAAATTCCCACTGAATCTCGTTCTTTTGAAATCTGAAATCAAAATCCCATCCAGTCCAACCATAAAAGGCCAACGTGCTGAGAAAGCTTTGCATTGGATTCAGGATACTCTGCACAAAAAAAAAGACAGAAAGGCAGATTATGGTCTGAACAAGATAGATTAGGAAAGGGGAAGAGCAACAAGACCTGGTTCACCAGTCGCTGGTACAGAAGGTGGTGAAGGAAGAAATAGTGTGCTGGCCTTCATTCCAACAGGATTCAAGTACAGAGCAGGGCTGTCTTGCTGCAATTACACAGGGCTTTGGTGAGACCACACCTGGAGTATTGTATGGAGGTCTGATCTCCTTATCTGAGGATGGATATTCTAGCTATAGAGGGAGTGCAACAAAGGTTTACCGGACTGATTTCTGGGGTGATAGGACTGATGTATAAAGAGAGAATGGGTCAGTTAGTCACTGGAGTTCAGAAGGATGAGGGGAACCTCATAGAAACCTATAAAATTCTAACAGGGTAAATGCAGGAAGGATGTTCCCAATGACTAGGGTATCCAGATCCAGGGGCTAGAGTACACAAGGATACAAGGTAGGCCATTTAGGACTGAGAGGAGGAGAAAATTTTTCACCCAGAGGGTGATGAGACTGTGGAATACTCTTGCCATAAAACAAAATTGACGCCAAAACATTGAGTGTTTGCAACAAAGAGTTAGATATAGTTCTTAGGACGAAAGGGATCAAGGGGTATGGGCAGAAAGAGGGAATAGGGTACAGGGTTGGATAATAATTTATAAATGGTGCAGCAGACTCTTATTTTCTACGTTTTTCTGTGACAAACCGGACTATGTTTACAGATATAGTGAGCACAACAGGACTATCATGTAAAACACTGAAGTACCATTCCGACAACTATAGCCTCTATTCTGAATCAAAGTAACATTTGAAAGGATTCACTTTCCCAATGCTGTGATTGTTGCCAGCAAGGAAGATGATAATATTAACCCACCTTTAAACTCATTTCCTGGAAATTGAAATTGGCCACTGTAAATTTAGTTTCATCCACATGGATCTTCTGAAGTTACAATGGCTGATCAGGATAAGCCCTGCAAACCAGCCTTCCATTCATTGACTCCATCTACACTTCCCGCTGCTTCGGGAAAGCAAACAACATTATCAGACCCCTCCCACCTGGTTACACTCATTTCCACCCTCTTCTTCAGGCAGAGGATATAAAAGTTTGAATACATGTATGAATAGATTCAAGAACAGCTCTTCCCCATTGTTATCAGACTTTTGAACAGAGCTCTCAAATTAAATGTTGATCTCTCTCTTTCTGCACCTTCTCTGCAGCTGTAACACTGTATCCTCCACTCTGTTCTGCTGCCTTGATGCACTTTGTACAATCTGCCTTTATTGCACACAAAACAACACTTTTCACTGTATCTCGGTACATGTGACAACAGTAAAACAGTAAATCAGCAACCAATCGGAAAGACACACAGTCTCAAACTTTAAAAAAATTGTAAAGAAGTGGATGGAACACAATTCCAGCCTCATCCATTCTGCTGGGCCTACACTGTCAACCTGTCCCAGACCAGGTGGTCTCTAATTGGAGTTCAACACCACTTCAAGCAGAGTTGTTGACAATGAAGAAATTGAATTGGCCCCTTTGTGTCAAAACTAGAGCTCACATGAACCTTCATGTCAAATAAGAAACAAATCCACCTCAAGGAAGGGGCAGAGCAATTTTTTTTTGCAAACATAGAGAAAGGGATTGGTTACCAATCATTGTGTTTTTCAAGTGCTTAATCAGGGCAAGTACATATTTGCCACAGGGACTGTTATACTGAAGTAATTTCTGCCACTTCGCCAACACTCAAGGAATCCCTCCTGTTGTGGCATCAAACCACACTGTAGAAGTCCAAATTCCCAATTCCTCCAAATTCCCTCTCTTTGTGGCCCTCTGTAAACATCTTACAGTCCTGAATATCATCATTTAAATATATAAATAGTGTTACAATCTTGGTAAAGACTTTTTTTGTTTAAAAATGGCAAGAAATCTGAAATCACAGTCCTTTACTGAAAGAATAAAACCATAAATTTCTCCAGTTTATAACGGATGAGTATTTACTATCCAAGAATCAAACAGAGCAAATACTAAATACCATCCCAGAATAATCATCCGTACTGTACAACGCAAAATTCAACAAAAGTTAAATATGCAATTTGTGGCAGACTCTAAGCTGTAAACGACACAGCAAATAATGAATACAAGACAGATCTTATGAATTGACGACTCAATCCATTCAGCATAAATGGCACTAATCTCAATCACCATACCCTTCAAAAAGTGGTCTTCCACACGAACAATTTTAATTTTCCTTCTCCCAGGACGTATACTGATCCCACAGCAGTGCACACCAAACATGTGAAACCATGTCCACAGTGACATGACATACAAATATTTCAATAAAGGAAATGAACCCAACATGTCACGCAATCGGACAGCGCGTGTGTGTGTGCGTGTGTGTGTGTGTGTGTGTGTGTGTGTGTGCGCGCGCGCGTGCGCACAGTTGCATCAAGCTTTGCAAAGACCCTCTATATGCAAACACCATCCATCATGTGTGATTAGATTGAAGTCTATAAGATTCCGAATAGTCTTGATGAGGTGAATGTCCTGAACTAGGAATATTTTCAAAATTCAGGGGCTTTCTTTTAGGGCAGAGATAACGGAAATTGCAAATTTGGAACTGTCTGCCTCAGAAGGTGAAGGAGGCACAGGTAGATAGAATCTTGTTAGGCTGGGGGATCATAGGTAATTGTGGATTGATGAGAATGTGAAATTCAGAACACACAGATCAGCACGATCTCATTGAACGGCAGAGCAGAGTTGAAGAGCCAAACAGCCTACATCTGCACCTAATTCACCTATTTCTCTGTACATGCTGAGCTTCTACCTGTCCCCAATGTTGTGAAGGCTGGCTCTGACCACATCGTGACAAAACATTCTTTCCTGCAGGACAGTGGCATACCACCTGTCCATCATGGTAAAGTTTTTGCACAAAGGCATCTTTTTACAAGTTCACGAGGGAGTAGGCCACACAGAACATCCTCAAGGCCCTGCAGGAAAACAACATGATGATTTCTGTTGAATGGTTCCCTCAGCAGGCCATCAAACCCATCTGGGTAGATTGCCTCATCACCAGAACATTCAAACCAGCTCTGAGATGTGGCTTTCCTGGTGGTGAGAAAGGCTCTTACACCCTTCCTACCAGATTCTTCATGACAGCCTCAGCCATCACACACTGCCCTCAGCTAGCTGCAATGGAGAAAAGCGTTTCCCACCTCTTCCTGGTGGAACTTGCTTTTGCAAAGACAGTCTACAAAGAGACTCGATAGTTTCCTTTATTCATTCACAGGATGAGGGTGTTGCTGACTAGGCAGCAGTTATTGCCCATCCCTACTTGCCCAGAGGGCAGTTGAGAGTCAACCACATTGCTGTGGATTTGGAGTCACATGTAGGCCAGACCAGGTAAAGATGGCAGTTTCCTTCCCCAAAAGGACATTAGTGAACCAGATGGGTTTTTCCAACAATCGACAATGGATTCACGGTTATCATTAGATTCTTAATTCTAGATATTTATTGAATTCAAATTCCACCATCTGGGATTCAAACCCGGGTCCCCAGAACATTATCTGGGTCTCTGGATTAACTGTCCAGCGATAATACCACTAGACCACTGCCTCCCCATTGTGTGGAGCAGTTCTGGATGACTCACTGCCTCAATGAGATGTTCCAGGTGCAAACACCAACAGAAGCATCAACTTCTGCTGGAGAATAATCAACTCAGCAAGACACTCTTTGGTCCTCCCAAACCAGTCTTCCAGTGCAAACAGAGCTCTGTATCCAGGCAGGCTGACATATTTCCAAATCCAGGATTATATGCTGAATGATGTGCTACAGCTTGTTGCTACTGTCACAAAGGCTCAAGGGGGAAAGAAGGCCTTCCTACCATAGTACACCTAGAGGCTGAAATGACTGATTGGGGAAGTAGACTCGAGGGGCTGAACGGCCTGCTCCATCATTCAAATCCAGTGGTACTGATCCGTCAGGGCAGCCCCCACAACTGAGAACTTTTTGACCAAGTGATCAATTATTTTTGGTCAATAATAATTGATCATTTTCATCAGCTTCGCTTCTACCACCATGTCCGAATCTATAAAAATTCAGTATTTCTCTGTGCCTTGTGGGCTGCTTGGTCCAGAGGTTGCTGCAGTAGACATTGAGAAGTTGGAAAAAATTGATTTATGAGAAAAACAGTGAAGTTAATTGATAAAAGCCAAAAGAACTGTAAATCAGGAACAAAAACAGAAGTTGCTGGAAAAGCTCAGCTGGTCTGGCAGCATCTGTGAAGAAAACAAAATCAGAGTTAATATTTCAGATCCGGTAACCCTTCCCCTGAAGTTAATTGAGTGAGCCAAACATTGCATTTTCCTTAGCTGCTTTGTCCCTTGGTTTACAGCTGTTAAGAACTGTCTTCTTAAAACACGGCACTGATTTCCAAATAATCCAGCAGACTGCTTGTTACATGTTGCACAAGATTTACACTGAGCACTACCCTGGTGGAAATGCAAATGAGCTGAGCTAAGGAACAATAATTACTTTCACTGACAACTTGCAGACACATGTCATTTTTCATTAGTGTTCAGAACAAAGTAGCTTAAGGTTTTGAAAGACAGGATTGTTTAGGGTACCCCTCAAAATGAGAAAAGGGACGTATTGTAATTCATTCCTGTAACAGCGTCTGGAGGTATGTAGCCGTTATCTCATAGAAGCTGAGCACAAGGGTCAGGATATAGTGTGTAACATCATTTAACCTATTCCTCTGAATATTGCTCCAATCTTTCACTATAATTGCAAGTGCAGGTTTGGGAACTCCTGCTGAAATGTCATTGTAAAGCACCATATATTTATAAAAAAAGCTGCTACTGCATCAAGCAGTGGCTAAGTTACAGTCAGCCTTGTTCATGAATGCAGCCAAAGATGGCTCAAGTCCACCCCCTGGTGTCTGCTGTACATAAATACACCAGTAGAAAACCAAGTACAGCAGCTTATG